AAGAAGAAGAAGAAGAGAAAAATGAAACACACTTCCATCCTCAGACAAAATTACTAGGTGACCATGGATCAAAACAAAGTCATTTGATTGACAAGTAATCATGTCTCTTAAAAAATCTAAAAGAAAGTAAACTCCAAAATGACCAAAATCATCTTCTTCCAATATAACTGATGCTTCCTGTGAATTATGTTAAGCACTACTCCATTCCTTCTAACTCATAGATAAGAACCATTAGAATTTCCAAGGATAAAATTAAGTTCACCTTGTAACATCCAATACAGAGATACAGCTCACATTGTTCAATAGCAATGAAATCACCTAAAACAAACAAAAGTCCTATAACAAGTCTTTTTGAGCACTCTTTTATTAATAACCCACAACCATTTATAATTTGCAGTTATTCATATTATAATCCATTACCCTCACTCTGACTAGAGATGAGATCCTGGAATGTTTCTGGCAAGATGACATTGACAAAAGCATGAATCATCTGTTTGGTATTATGAAAATATGAGAAATTAATTTCATGAAACAATTGTGACAATTTCAAAATAAAATAGTAATTGCAATGAGGTATTTTAATGTGTCTTCTCAGGTAACAGGAAATACAATAACAGCAACAGTGGGAAATAATAATATTTGTTAGCATACAAATTGTTACAAAAGGGCTAATAAAATATTTCTAAAAACAACTGGACAAGGCTTTGACAAAAAAATGCACATTGTTCTTACTGTATACAAACATAATTGAGAATGTACTGTGAGATTACATTCAGCTGTAACTAACTGCAAACTCTCACAACCTGACACAAGATCCCCATTCTCACAGGGAAAGATTTGAGCACAGTAACCGCACAGTGCAGCACAGGAACAACCGTCTACCTGGTTCTTTGTGACTATACCACTGTAGCTGTCTTCATGGAATTGGGAAAATAGTCATTACCAGAATTAACAAAACAAGGTGTTTGCTATACAAATTAGACCTCATTGAAATACAATCTAAAGAAGAGGAGAGTTAGAGCAAAAGACAATACGCTCAACCATGACAGTCTGAAAACTGCCTGATGGACAATTGAGGGCTTGTAGGAAAACCCAAATTGCAAATGGATCTTTGATGTGGAGCTTGTGGAGACATGTGTGGAATCCTACTTCTCTGAGAAAACAAGTCAAGCAGATAGTGGTGTTTTGAAGAAACTCTTTTTTTTTTTTTTTTTTTT